AGTTTCAATTTGTGAAATAGCATAAATGATTCACATTTTAATGAAATATTTATGAAGGCTTCAAAACATTCATTGTAGAAAAATGCACCTACTTGGACATTACTGACGCATCTGTTCATTATTTAAACCTGATCATTTGTATTATTGTATCCAACTGATGTTCATATATTGCTGACATTTAAAATCAGCTGCATATATATTAAAGGTATTTTACTAACAAACTAGTTTTAATTACCGAAATTTCATAAATCATTCATATTTTAGTTTCGTAGTTATAAATGGCTCAAAGCATTAATTGTAAAAGGTACACCTACTTGGACATTACTGGCACATTTGTATTTCTGGCTTTCTTGACTCCTGAAAAAATTGAAATGTTTCATTAATACTATGAGCAAGAAATTATCAAAAGTACGAAGAAGGATGGCTGATGTAGACTGTCGCCAGGCGTTTACAAACGTCGCTGTCATACACAAACTACGAGTAGACCACACTCAGGAGATGATCGTTATGTATAACACCAGTTTTTCATCTGTCAGTGAGTGAACTGAGGCTACAACTGCCACCAAGTTGTCTTCCCTGATGAGTGCAGCTTCTGCCTGGAGTATAAAATCCCGAGACACCCCCGTGTACTGTATCATGCTGCCATGTATTGAGAAACTAATGACCGCTAATGATCTGTGGAGGACTTAAACATCATCGTATTCTGCTGTCTCAACATGTTATCAACTGTGGAAGTCATTGCATCAAGTGTCAACTTACATACTATTTTTTTATGTATATGTCAAAATGAGATCCATTGTAATTCTCAGAACCTGAAAGAATGGTCCATTTCCTACAGATTTCGTCATTTTTCATTTCTTGACGCACTGGAACTTGCAATAAACTATATTTGTTTGTATTTACTTTGAAATAAAAGTTTAAATAAAAAAAACCATTTGTTTCATACTTACCTATGCAGTCTGCTATTTCGTCCCTGAAGAGGTACGCCACATACAGCAAGACGCCATCCACAACCAGCATTATACACACACCTATAACCACTCCTGCTTCTGTGGTGCTGTGATTTGAAATATTGTGCATTCCTTAAAATGTGTAACAATTACTAACAAACCTACTTATGTTTCTTGAATATGAAATTTACCTCGTCTGTGTACACAGTAGCTCAATTGCATTACAAACTTGTCTTTTTATCACGTTAAATTTATTAAGAAACGTTAACAATTCAGGAATGTGCTATATTTTTTAACTCTTTAAGTACCAATCGTTGAGTACACCCTAACAATGATGACTACATCACAAATGTCATATATAAGGACAAATATATGACGTTTGTACAATATCGCAAAATGAGGAGAAATATATTATCAGTATAATGCTATTAACCCTGTTAAAATACGACAAAGAGCTGAGGCTATTCTGTATAGGAGGAACAACCGAGTTTGTTTCAATGCGGCGTAAAATAATATTATCTTTCTGTGGGAAGAATGTTAAAAAGATTTGAACCCACAACTGCGGATCCTGTCATGTCTAACTGACTTCATTTATGAGTTTTAGGTAAGCTACAAATAGTCAATATATCGGTCCATAAACACTCTTGTGTAAGAACTAAAGGATAAGCATCTCACCCTCTTTATAGAACATTTGGAAATGTTCTGGTCGCATATACCCTTGCCCCTCAACGTGACCTAGTTGGTAGTAACGCCTTACAAGAGTGACGTCATTATAGAAATCACTAAAACTAAAAGTGATCGAGGGATGGGAGACTGGGAGTTACATGTAACTGTGCACTGTTTACACTGATCTTTCTTAATTCGTTCTGTCACTGCCGAGACCCAGTCTTAATTACTTTACTTTACATACCCAAGTTCTGTGACATTTACCGTCCTTATATATCTGTGTGATAGGGGTACAGCCGGATGATACTTCACACATAGGTCTGATGAACATTACATGGGATAACGGGGTGAGTGAGTTTAATTTTACGCCACTTCTAGCAATATTCCAGCAATATCACGGCGGGGGGACACCAGAAATGGGCATCACACATTGTACTGGAATAAACAGACGTTTTCTGAATGCACTAACAACTGACGGAGATAATACAGTACAACCAGAAATTATTGAGAATTTAAAGATTGTAAATGTGAATATTAGCAGAACATAACTCCAGATTCAAAGACAGGTGAACAGTTAGTATTTTGTCAAGTCACCATGGGCAGCAATGCAGGCTTCAATGCGGCGGGGCATACTACTGATCAAAAAAAAAGATAGAAAGTCGTGGTCCATGCTGTCCCAATATCGGACCACCTCTTCTTTCATTTCAGCAATATTTGTCAGATTTTTCGTATTGACACTTTCCTTCATAAGTCCCCAAACATTTTCTGGATGTAGGTCAGGATTATAGCTTGGCCAATCTAAAAATGTCATATTTTGGGTCCGAAACAAGGCCTGTGAATGCTTTGAACGATGTTTTGGATCGTTGTCCTGTTAGAAAATCCAAAACTTTCCTTAGAACACGTGAGCAGATGGAAGTAAATGTCCCTCGAGAATATCTGTGTACCGTTCACTGTTCATATTCCCTTCAAATACACAGAGGAGCGTTGTCCCTAACACAGATATGCCACCCCAAACGTTAAATTTCGGACTGTACTTTGGGCGCTGATACAAAGGTTTTTCAGTTTGTTTGGTCCAGACTTTCAGTGTATTAGGAAACAGCCACACAGAACTTTCATCTGAGAAAATCACATTATCCCAGTTAAAATTTCTATGCTGTAAGCACCAGTTCAACCTTCACTCCTTTTGTTCAGGTTTCATGATCGGTGATGGAATTCCTCGACTTTTCTGCCAACCCATTGCATGCAGCTCAGTTCTAATTGTCTCCTGACATACAGCCACAGGTTCTGTATTAATCATATCCAGCCTTAAGTTTTCTAAAGTCCTTCGTTTGTTTTTAGAAACAAGAATACCAAGCCGCCTCCTGTCACCGACAGTCAATTTTCTGGGCCTACCTGCGCCTCCCTGGTGCTCAATGCCATATCCATTTGCAATATGTTTCAACAAACGATAAACAGTGGACAAAGGGATGCCTGTTCTACTTGAAATCACTTTAGCTGATCTGACGTCCTTGTTATAATACTCTAAAATCAGCTTCCTCTTCTCTAAATCATCCATACTGAGGAAGTGTCGTCTGCTAGCAAGTAAAAAAAGGGGGATAGCTCTTCACAAACTTATGAAAAAGGATTAACGGAGTTGTCTCTCTTGAATGAAACCAAGCACTTGATAGCTGGTCAAGGTTGTTTATACTAGAAATCCAATTAAACCTATTCCTTAATTCTCAATAATTTCTGGTCATACTATATATATAAGTAGAGTTGAGATCAGGGCCCTTATTCCCGAAACGTTCGAAGCCCTAAGAATTCTTAACTTTGATCGTAGCCAATGTGTTAGGAATGGGCTTAAGAGGTTTGTAAGGCTACGAACGTTCCGAGAATAGCTACCCATGATATTAATGCTCAAACCATGACACTGTATTTTACCCGAAACAACAATCAAGAACAGAGCGAAGGACACGACAGAAGAATGACGTTAAAGAGGAAAAAATTCAGTCCGAATGTATATGGCCACCGTTGGCTGAAATATGTTCCAGGGCAACTGCTTCAGCATCACATGTGGGGTACATGTGTAAGCAGTCATACCAGCGTTATCTATGCAATCAGGATAATTAAAGGTCACTTGCAACGCAAAACACAACTTTGCAGATTCTGATACCTTTCGGTATGGCCTTACAGTAACAAATTATCAAAATTCAAGTCCTGCTTTGTACTTGGACGCACGCAGTAGTTCACCATCCCAGTATTTGTTGATTGGATCGAACGCAAATGCAGAAAAAATGAGCATGTATTTACAAAACCCAACATCTCTATATACACACACAATGAGCCCTTAGCGTATCGGCAAATGAACCACCCAATGAAAGACTTCGTTACACTTGAGTGCACACCCACCCGCTCTGACTAGGTTCTGCCTCCCGGGTGCTTCGTTTCGAGGGAAGAAAACCCGAGTACAAAATATTGCACTTTTGATTTGCGATTGTACGCTTTTAAATTTGTTTATTTGTTTCTTCATAATCAGCAATGTATATTAAATGTCGTGAAAAAGTGATAATTGTGTTTTAATTATGTTTGTGTTTTTGGTTGCATGTGACCTTTAAGTAAATTCCGCTGCTTTCGACTCGTGAAGGTCCTGGTTAGAACTGATCTTCAGTAACCCATGCTTGTCGTAAGAGGCGACTAACGGGATCGGGTGGTCAGACTTGCTGACTTGGTTGACACATGTCATCGGTCCCCAATTGCGCAGATCGATGCTCGGGCTGTTGATTCATGGATTGTCTGGTCCAGAATCGATTATTTAAAGACCGCCGCCATATAACTGGAATATTGCTGAGTGCGTTGTAAAACTATACTAACTCACTCCGTTGCTTTATTTTACATTTTTGTAACACTCACCACCTGCGGACGTATCGGGCGGTGCTGGCGATGTTTGACCTGGAAACAAGGTCCTTCGTTTTAATTGGTGTACCGACAACATGCATGATGTACACATATGCATTCTTCTGTACAGCACACTGACAATAGAGAATTGATCAATGCAACAAAATAGTACCACTGGCCTGCACACACAAGTGGAACATCTGATATTTGAAAAGCAGACTCAATTGAGGATCTGCAAGAATGAATATACCCACACAAGCAAATTATTTTACAGTACATTATTGCCTTTCTGCTTATTCATGAACCAGTTTGGATACTGGGCCCCCGTTAAAACACTGTACGACTTGATGCCGATTGCGAATTTATGTTTGTTACATGATACATATCTCACAAATAGATGTGTATCTTCATTTGCGAAGATAATTTACACCAATACAATGGCAGCTTTACAATGAAAAGAGTGTTTGTTTGAAAACTAGGTTTCTCTGGCAGCATGGTGTCTGTTCTTACTTCCAGAGAGGAGGGTAATGAAGATCAGAAGACAAAGAAGATCACACGGGTTCATTCTTCTTTCTAGCAGGTGCGACTTTCTGATCCTGAAACATGTATATGTATGGCGTTAGTTATGGAAACCCTCTTGGTAATGGTTATATTTTAAGTTGAGATCAAACAATTCCTGTGGTTTAGTTGCAGTAAAGATTTGCCACATTGAAACAACTTGTCTATTATCAAGCCATTACATAGTACGAAAATGTGTACCATTTCTTATACATTCATATACACATCTTTGGTTTCGTATATAACTTACTTGCATGATCAATAACTTACGAAATATGAAACACATGTCCATCTCGTTTCACCCCAGTGACGTTAGACATAGCATATAGAACAAAAATACTTTTTCCATTACCTATAACATATTTATGTGAATTTACTAAAGATATGATCGATCTGGAGATAACTGAATTCAGTACATAACATATGACTAACAAATCCTAAATGAAATTAATGATTTAAATGTTGCATGTCTGAACATTGGTACGGTGTATGAACTGACACAAACAATAAACGTACGGTAAAACTAGAAGTGTAACATGTTCCTTTATCAATGAAAGCAATTGCTTTAGATGGAATCCATCTGCACTAAGATTTACAGTATTTGCAAAGCTTAGCAACATATTTATCTGGAGAATTACTCTTAGCATCCATGAACAAACTAAACTGCATGTGCACGCGATGGTGTAAAAGAACATGCTACGGCCGTTACAATAATCGGAATGAAACTGACTTTAATGAAACTAAATTTACAAACTAAGCAAATAATATTTTGGAAAACTGTAGTTAGTGTCAGTGGACATGGTCAGTTAAGTTTACACATCAGCTACTGGCGTACAGGTACCACGCTGTGCTGATTACAGGTGTGTAAGACAACACAAAACAAAGGGAGAGTTCATCACACAGTTTCCAGTCACTGATCATCACAAGTGTAGACAACATCGGTTGATGCATACTACTTTTTATGTTCCTGATGTCCATATTTGTACAGATTTCATGTTGTCATATTGATTCATCTACCATTACATATAGATACAAAGGTAACCATCTTTCTTTTAAAACAGTAGACTAACATGCCACAACTGTGCTCGGAAGTATAATATTCACACTTGTATGTGTCGTCTTACCCACCATTCAGAATCCTGCCCTGATCAATTTACTTCCTTGATGATTACATTACCTTACTCAACAGGTGACATTTCCGCTTGACAACGGTACAAGAATCTCTATAGACACGTTGCACCTACGAAATATATGAAGCTGGTATCCATAATGTTTGTTCTATAGTGCATGTCCCTACTTCTAAAATGTCACTCGAAGAAGATTTTATTACCTATAACATCTACATGTTACACCAGATGCAATGTCTGAGTAAAAGATACCTACGGTCATACATGTACACAGAGTCGGAAGGGGAAGGTTTACTGGAGGCAATAAGCCTATCGCCTAACTGTAGAGCGATGGTAAGGGTGTGTGTACTGTTCATGTTAATGATAACATAGACACCAATACGAAGTATTCCCACATTGTCTTTACAGCTATCAAAACCATGGCTCTTGAAAATGTACACACATACCTGTAGTAGTAGATATACTGGGGGTACGAGATCACTTTTCAAGAAAGGTCGCTGTAAAGCTTTATTTCACAAATAAAGCTTTTGTCAGGCGCTTAGATCTCGCCCCCATCTTATATACTACTTTTGAATCCCCAGTTAACTTCCCGGCCACACGTGACACTATTGTGCCACGCGTGTCAATATGACCGTGATCCTGATCACGTAGCACTATCGTGATAGCTCTATGTCATGTTGACCTTGATGAAACAGTTTAATGTGAATCGCGTATGATCTCTTTGGTGTTCGTAATGAAGTCTTGCTGGGCTTTTCGTACCCCCTGTTCTTTGTACTTTATTTTCTCGTCTTCGCTGATAGCAGACTTACGAGACTTGGACCGGTTTTCTTGTTTCATTTTACGGTACTTGTTGAGTTCAGAGAGGATTGAACGAAGAAATTCCTCCTCTGAGATCTTACTGTCAGTGAGTGCCGTGGAAATACGCACACTTACCGTGTTCAGCTTTGCTTCGGCTACAACCCTGATCTCATCGTGTTTCAATGCCTTACGATGCAGTCTGCGTAATGCAAACTTTATCACCAACCCTGCCAACCCTACCATCCCAGCTGTTATTTCAATGCCTAGCACTATAGGTGCGGCCATGATGGTGGCTAACAACCCAACACCTGCCGCCCCTAGTCCCATGCTGGTTGCCATAAGGGCAGTATCAGTCCCGTCCATGATATTGACAGCTCTGTGGAACTTCTTATATAGTGCTTTCCGCGTGTCACGGTCTTGTTCTAGTTGGCGTTTTACCTCACATAACTGTCTCAAGTGGAATCCGTCTACGGTTTCCAGGGTCTTCGCTACTTCCTCCACGACTGGGTACAGCCTCATCCTGTGTGCATATAATATATTCTGAAAAAGATGTTTAAATCGTGCGACATTTAATTCTTGAACAGTGTATTTGAGGCTTATAAGGTTTAGATCACCGTACAGGGAAATAGATGAGAGGCTAATAACTCTGCATCCAAACGAACATCATGGGGGCATCTTACTGAGGGGACTATAGAACCCGTTGAGGGATCCGGTTGTATGATGATACGGCAACGTTGGTCCTGCCTATGACGCCCCAGGGTATTGTCACCCCGGGTAAAAGTTGTCGTTCTGTATCATCAAGAACCACCCCAAGGCAGACTTCTATGGCGAGTGTGGAACCTGGTTTCACAGTCATAACGCCCAACTGGGAATCGGGGACGTCAAACCTTAACTCGTCATTAAAACCTAAAGCAACTAACATGTTACTCGTGTGATCCTGTGTTAGCTGAGTACTTATCCTATACTTCAGAACGAAAACCCCAAGCAAGATGCCGTTGTTCCTAATTTCGGAGACCTCCCCTATCTTTGTTTAACGAGATATAAGGTGCGGTGAGGGTTATGTTGATCAACCATTTGGGCTCTATAAAGTCGGGTGGCGGATGCGACCGCCAGTACACACCATTGTGTAAGCGCAGGACGTACAAGCCGTCCAAGCCGGGCAGATCGAATCCTTTTATGCCTCCTAGGTCCCCGAGTGTGATGTTGGGTCGATGTTCGGCCATTGCCGCCCTCGTATACACGTTGTCTTTCTAGCGAGGGGCATACAAGGCGTCTTCCTCACTGGGCAGATCGAATTCCTCCGTGTCTCCTAGATCGTTAAGTGTGGCGTTGGGCCGATGCCGATTGGACATTGCTATAATACTATTACGAGATAGTTTCCAATTGTTCTCTGATAATTTCTCAGGGGGTGCACTTCACCCCCATGAAGAGTATGTTGTCGGGTAGGAAGATCTTGGTGAGTGATATCGTGTCTTCCATGGCCACAGTGACCCCCTGCATATCGCATCTTCCACGGCCACAGTGACCCCCTGCAGACTGGTTTTGGAGTCGACACCCACCCGCACGTAAACAGTGCAAACTTCATACTGGTGCCGTTTCACCCACCGGAGTTTGATTTCCTTCACGATTTCGACTTCATCCCACGATGGTTCCCCTAGGTAGACTTGGATGACCAGTGTGGAGTTCGCCGGCAGGCTCTCCAGGATGTTGACCACCCCTTCGAATTCAGACACCACTTGCAATGACACGTTTTGCATCCCGGGCTTGCTCGATAGCATGTGGGCTGTAGCACTCGAGACTGGGCTGATGACTACGCTACGTCTCCGAGCCGGGACGTAAGCCACGAGCAGGGTTCCGTTATTCACGACTTTGTTTAGGTTGTTGTCTTTGTTCTCCTTGAACACATAGGTGGAGCCGGGCCTAATGTTGAGAAACCAGTCGACTTTAACGGCCACCACACCCACTTGTTATCGTCGGTGAAGACGAGGGTATACTGCTTGTTTCGGGCGACGGTCGTGCTATCAACATGTTCTAAGTCGAACAGTTTGCCTCCGAACGATTGGGATACCCGTCCATCTATCATCACCGATGTGGACTAGGTCGAATTGAGTGTTGACGGCTGCTCCTGAGGCATCTACTATGTCACCTAGGGTTCTACCGATGGAGGGGACTTCAACGCGTTTGTAAATGTTGTTTTTTTCAGTTGCAAGGCGTACAATTTGCGCTAGTCATTTCATGTGCAGTGTTATGCTGAGGTATCCTATATTCACAGGATTATGCTTTATATCTAACACCGATATTATCAGCTTAGGGATGTTGGAAGGGTGGCTACCTTGAATGTTGTCTGTCGTGCTCAACTGACTGAGATGAATGCACAGCTCTCGGTACGGTACTGGGTCGGTAACTTCGTGCCTGTGACAGTAGTTTTATCGGGTTTTATCTCGTCCGCCGACATCCCGAGTGTCCTCGCCAATGGCTGACCGAGCCTCGAGGGATTTATTCTGTTGTTGGTTAACACCACTGTGCCGTTTGAGTCGTTCATCTTGAGTTTGGCCCCCAAGGGCTCGAAGACCTCATTGCTTAGCGAGCACTTGCTGTAGTAACCGTCGGTTATCTGGTTGCGGGCGCCACTGACGAACAGCTTATTATTGCTGGCGTTGATGTTGGTCCATCACGGCAGGTAGGTGATATCGCAGAGTGTGACTTGTTGACCCGATGTGTTATCGATCGCATGCATCAGCTGATCGGCCTCACCGCTCATTATTCCTGGAAGTGTTACGTACATGTTAGAGTATATACCCATTATATAATACTTTCAAAATGTACAAGCCTGGAGTGTTTTACCGTAAGATGGACATAGACTTCACGAATATGAAGATCGTGGTCGCTGATGAGTTGTATTTTGTCACCCAGTTTATGGATGTATTTGCCAGGTATAGGTTTTCGGTGACTAACGCTAAGGTAGTCCATGCTTGGTTCAACAACCTGATGCATACGAGTCGACATGCCTAAGGAAGGCGACAATATCCTAAAATTCGACAACCACAAGAACCAGATGTCCGTGCCTTATGTCATCTATGCCGACTTCCAAGCCTTGGTCAAACACGTTGAGGCTGCTGGGGGGTACCCCAGGCACACTAAAAACACAGGAGCACGAGGCCTCTGGGTTTGGATACGTGGTCGTCCGGTGTGATGGGGAAACGAAAGCTCCCGTAGTGTACAGGGGTCCCGACGCGGCTGAAAAGTTTCTAAAGTGTTTGCAGGAGGAAGAGAAAGCTCTCAGGAATGCGCTGCGTACAGTCGCTCCCATGCGTATGACTCAAGCCGACTGGCTAGCTCACGGCTGCAGCACTCACTGCCACGTGTGTGATAAACCGCTGAACGGCGATTCGGTGAGAAATCACTGCCATGTCACCGGTAAGTATAAAGGCGCCGCTCACAACGCGTGCAACCTCAAGCTCAGAATCACCCCCAAGACAATAAACATCCCCGTGGTCTTCACAACTTGATCACTTGATCATGCAGGCCATCGCGAAAGTCGACGGCAACCTGACGTGCATCCCCAACAACATGGAGAGATACATCTCCTTCAGCTTGAATGGTCTGAGGTTCATCGACTCGGTTCAGTTCCTCCTGTCATAACTCGACAGTCTGGTCAAGGCCAACGATACCTTCCCCATCACAGACCGATACACTGATGCTGAGACTCGACACCTGCTGATGAGGAAGGGCGTGTACTCCTACGAGTACATGAATGGCTGGGCCAAGTTCGCCGAGACCCGACTGCCTCCTATCACCCGATTTTACAGCAACCTGACCGACTTGACAATCACTCAAGACGATTACTCGCATGCGATTAACGTATGGAATAAACTGGGCTGTAAGAATCTGGGTGACTACCACGACCTGTACTTGAGAACAGATGTACTCCTGCTAGCCAACGTGTTCGAGACGTTTAGGCGGACGTCTTTTAAGCAGTATCAACTCGACCCCGCATGGTACTACACCAGCCCAGGTCTATCTTGGGATGCCTTGCTGGAGAAAACCGGAGTTAAGCTGGAATTGCTCACCGATTATGACATGCACCTGTTCATTGAGAAAGACTTGCCAGGTTGGATCTCCATGGCTACCAAACGGTACGCGAAAGCAAATAATCAATACATGAAGGGCTACGACTCGAGCAAGCCAACCAATCACATCCTGTACCTCGATGCCAACAACGGCTGGGCCATGAGCCAGTATCTGCCTACAGGGGGATTCGAATGGGCATCGCCCAAGATCAATGTTATGAGCATCGCGCCGGATTCGAACAAAGGCTATATCCTCAAAGTGGACTTGGAATACCCCAAGGCATTGCACACATCACACAACAGCTACCTCCTGGCCCCCGAACGTATGAGGGTTAACCTGGACTGGATGTCTGAGTACCAACATAACTTGTGCCCAACTTAATGTATCAGATCAAGTACATCGTTCACTATCACAACCTACAGCTGTACCTGTCGTTGGGTATGGGGCTGACCAAAATACACAGGGTGTTCGTGTTCAACCAGAGCCCCTGGATGAAGCCCTATATCAGAATGAACACGGACCTGCGAAAGCTGGCCACCAGTGACTTTGAGAAAACCTCTACAAGCTCATGAACGACTCGGTGTTTGGTAAGACAATGGAGAACCTGAGGAAACGCATGACTGTGAAGCTGGTTCGGGCGAAAGAGGAAGCTCAGGAAACTGATAGCCAGCCCGGCATTCAACTGGAGCAAGATATTCACCGACGACCTGGTGGCCCTACACATGAAGAAAAGCCACATCAAATTCAACCGGCCTGTTTACGTGGGGATTAGCATCCTTGATTTATCCAAACACCTGATGTACGACTTTTAGTACAATGAGCTCAAGAAACAGTACGGCGACAGGTGTGAAGTGCTGTACACGGACACTGATTCCCTGCTGATGGAGATTCGAACCCAGGACGTGTACGAGGACATGAAGAAACGCCTCGATTTGTACGACACCAGCAACTACCCCAAGGACCATGCCATACACAGCACGGTAAATAAAAAGTTCCGCGGTAAGATGAAGGACGAGTGTGCTGGCACGCCCATAGCTGAGTACATAGGCTTGAGGCCCAAGATGTACTCCATGTGAAACAACACATCAAACACGCCAGATTCAAGGAAGCCCTGTTCAAGACCCGCACCTTCAGGCATAAAATGAACACGCTTAGAAGCGACGGGCAAAGGATAAACGGACTGACTATAAACAAGACGTCCCGATGGACACAAAGCGTTGGATAGCCATCGATGGTATCAACAAGTACGCGTACGGGCATGAGAAAATTGAACCAAGAACATAGGTGTATATATAAATACGATACCCTGTCGGGGCGACATGTCACAGAACCAGAATCCAGCTAGGGTCCATGCAGGTAGCAAAAGTCCCCATGGCCCCTAGTATGGTGATCTACCTTCAGTTGTTGGCAATCTATAGCCTATCTTTATATTGTGTTGTCCCCTATAGTTAAAATGTTTTAGATTCAATTACTAGTTTTACATATATATCTGTGATACTCCAGTTGCTTTACTGTCCTTTGTCGGCAGGTGTTTATAATATCTATATATATATATATATATATTGTTTTTCAATATCAAATATTCTGGTCACGATATGGCTGAAATATTGCTGATGTGACGTTAAATATTACCTCACTCACTCACTCACGGAACCAGAGTTTGAGGCTAATTACTACAGCCCGCATGGGTACTGGAAAGGAGCTAGCGCCGTACATAAGCTGGCTAAAATGGCGCGAGTACCCCTGGACGAGGCCAAAGCGTGGCTTGAAAAACAAGCCCTGTGGCAGATCTATTTACCGGCACCACGCTACGTGCCTAGAAGGAAATTTGGCATTACCGCACTCAATAGCATTCACCAGGCCGACCTCCTGTTCCTACCCCACGACAGGAGGTACAAGTATGCCCTATCTGTCGTGGACGTGGCCAGCCGCTTCAGGGAAGCCGGACCGTTGACCGCAAAAGATTCGGCCCAGGTAGCCCGCGGATTCGAACGCATATACCAGCGCAGTCCGCTGGCGTGGCCAACAGAGCTGCAAGTCGACCCCGGGCGGGAGTTCATGGGTGCCGTGTCACACCTGCTAGACAAACACAGCGTCCAGGTCAGGCGTGGCACGGCCGGAGCCCATCACAGCCTAGCCATAGTTGAGAGATTCAATAGGACTTTGTCCGAGCGCTTATTCAGGCATCAGTATGCGAGAGAGATGGCAAACCCGGGAAAACGATCGACGGAATGGGTAGCGCGGCTACCTCAAGTGGTGTTGGCTATCAACCACAAAACCACTCGGCTCACTGGCAAGAAACCAGCCGACGCTATCAAACTGAAATCAGTAGTGGCTGAGTCGGCTGCACCAATGTGTGGGAAGGAGAAACAGATACCCGATAGTGCCCCGTGAGGTACCTCTACCAGCTGGGGCAACATGAAGGGGACACTCGGAAACGAGCCACCGATCCGATATGGTCAGTCAAAACTTGTACTACTTGAGAGATGGGCCAGGGAGAGGTTTTGTTAGAGAGGAATTATTGATCATACCATACAGCACAATGTTACCCCCCAAGCAAAATATTTAACACTTACCTTACCAAGTAATCCCAATAGTATCCTGTCAACACGACATAGAACTATCATGATAGCGCCACGTGATCAGGATCACAGTCATAGTGACAGGCGTGGCACAATAGTGTCACGTGTGGCCGGGAAGTTAACTGATACAAAAGTAGTATATACGATTGGGGCGAGATCTAAGCGCCTGAAAAAAGCTTTATTGGTGAAATAAAGCTTTACAACGACCTTTCTTGAAAAGTGATCTCGTACCCCCAGTATATCTACTACTCCTGGACATGAAGTAAAACGCCATTAGAAATCCGACCGGTGCAAAATACTTCCTTGTTGAATGCACAAGCTATGGGAGTGTGTGAGGCGTGTTGTAAATATATTTATAGTTCATTGTTAGGTTTCTGGATGAACAGACACACCAACATGATACTGGGTCAACAGTATAAAGGAGATGTAAGTCGTGATGACATTGTTGATGTAGCGGTAGGTATGGGGAAATTAGGAACAGACTATTGTACTTCCTGATTTTGATTTACAAGCAAATAGATAATTAGTTGCACCACTGTCGACAATATCATAGCTACTTTTTTTCGTAAAATATTATGGTATCGTTGCTGTGATAACGCTATGTGAAATTGGAGAACAACTATAATCAACAGTTGCAGGTCAATGGTCAGCATGTGAACAGTGCGAACTATCATACTCCAAGGTTTGGTGAGACCAATTTGAATCTCTTCACAGGTATTCACTGTAATATCACCGGGTTTAGGGAGACCAACTTGAATGTCTTCACAGGTATTCACTGTAATATCCCCAGGTTTAGTGAGACCAACTTGAACGTCTTCACAGGTATTCACTGTCTTACCCCCCGTTTTAGTCAGACCAACTTGAATGTCTTCACAGGTATTCACTGCAATATCCCCAGGTTAAGTGAGACCAACTTCAATGTCTTCACAGGTATTCACTGCAATATCCTCAGGTTTAGTGAGACCAATTTCAATGTCTTCACTGTATTATCCCTAGGTTGAGTGAGACCAACTTGAATGTCTTCACAGGTATTCACTGTCATACCCCCAGGTTTAGGGAGACCAACTTGAATGTCTTCACAGGTATTCACTGTATTATCCCCATGTTTAGTGAGACCAACTTGAATGTCTTCACAGGTATTCACTGTCATATCCTCAGGTTAAGTGAGACCAAGTATTATATGTATTCACTGTAATATGCCCAGGTTTAGTGAGACCAATTTCAATGTCTTCACAGGCATTCACTGTAATATCTCAAGGTTTAGTGAGCCCACCTTGAATGTCTTCAAAGGTATTCACTGTAATATCCCCAGGTTTAAAGAGACCAACTTAAATGTCCTCACAGGTATTCACTGTAATATCCCCAGGTTTAGTGAGACCAATTTCAATGTCTTCACAGGTATTCACTGTAATATCCCCAGGTTTAGTGAGACCAACTTCAATGTCTTCACAGGTATTCACTATCATATCACCGGGTTTAGGGAGACCAACTTGAATGTCTTCACAGGTATTCACTGTCATATCCCCAGGTTAAGTGAGACCAACATAAATGTCTTCACAGGTATTCACTGCAATATCCCCAGGTTTAGTGAGACCAACTTAAATGTCTTCACAGGTATTCACTGTAATATCCCCAGGTTTAGTGAGACCAATTTCAATGTCTTCACAGGTATTCACTGTAATATCCCCAAGTTTAGTGAGCCCATCTTGAATGTCTTCACAGGTATTCACTGTAATATCCCCAGGTTTAATGAGACCAACTTAAATGTCCTCACAGGTATTCACTGTAATATCCCCAGGTTTAGTGAGACCAACTTGAATGTCTTCACAGGTATTCACTGTAATATGCCCAGGTTAAGTGAGACCAACTTGAATGTCTTCACAGGTATTCACTTTCTTACCCCCCGTTTTAGTGAGACCAATTTGAATGTCTTCACAGGTATTCACTGTCATATCACCGGGTTTAGGGAGACCAACTTGAATGTCTTCACAGGTATTCACTGTCATATCCCCAGGTTAGGTGAGACCAACTTAAATGTCTTCACAGGTATTCACTGCAATATCCCCAGGTTTAGTGAGACCAACTTAAATGTCTTCACAGGTATTCACTGTAATATCCCCAGGTTTAGTGAGACCAATTTCAATGTCTTCACAGGTATTCACTGTAATATCTCCAGGTTTAGTGAGACCAACTTGCATGTCTTCACAGGTATTCACTGTAATATCTCAAGGTTTAGTGAGACCTACTTGAATGTTTTCACGTGTATTCACTGTAATATTCCCAGGTTTAGTGAGACCAACTTGAATGTTTTCACAGGTATTCACTGTAATATCCCCAGGTTTAGTGAGACCAACTTGAATGTCTTCACAGGTATTCACTGTAATGTCCCCAGGTTTAGTGAGACCTACTTGAATCTTCACAGTTTAAGTCGCATTACCGTTTCACAAACGTTTAGTGACTTAACGTTGTGTAATAGTCTATGTGCGACGTTTTGACAACGTATGTATGTCATGTTGAGACGTATCGCCGTTGTATCATGACGTTACCAATGAACAACAATCCGACAACGTTGAGATAACTGTGTGTGTTAGCTCGGGAACCGTCAAAGTTAGCAGCATTTTTTTCAGCTTTCAACAACGGCCTGTAAAACATCTAACCTAAAGACTAATCCGTGCCTTAAAACAGAAAACAGATCCTGTCACTGAGACACATCTAACCACTCAATCCTCTTAAGTCATAGCTTACACCCAGCATGGGTCATAGGGAGCCTCAAGCTTTTCCTCTCTTAAATCACAGTCAGTAGTTTAACCTTCCTCAGTAGGAAAAGTGTATAACAATGATTTACTTTGACAAACTCTGTTCTTGTGTGTTGATTTCAACAGGTGTTATCACTATAGCAGGTGTCTGCATGCTGTAATGGTTGAGACAGAATCTGTGTTATGCCTACACGTAAGTACATGTTGAAATTCTCCTCCAACAAACTAACTATTTTTAGTTGTGATGTTAATTGAGACATATCAGATTTTTATTGTTATCAGGTGAAAGTGTTTTATGTAGTTATACAAGTATGCAAATAAAAGTATAAAAACGAGAAGGCTGTGGCGAATAAGAGTACTCCCCCTTTGATAGTGAACGTAACCTCAGCAATGTCGCATTCAAGCACACTGCGTACACCTAATTACACGCACTCAATAGGTATAGCTCCGGTCGATGGGAGAACACTGAACGTAGACTGGTACACAAGTACAGATCCCCAATGTGCAGAGATCTCCAAAACAATCTTCCGATGACGACAACCACCAAACGATAAAGATGACGTCACACGCTCAAATATTTTATGCTTGCAAGACTTAAAATCATCCACATTTACATGGTAACATCATTGTTTTAGAGTGTTTAATTAATTTTCTGTGATCTTACCTAGTTTGCATCACCACTATTGCCTTGATGACGCAAAGATGTGGCAGGAACGTTTTTGTGGAGGTCACCTTGAGGATGAGTAGTGATTAGGAAGCCAAATGACGTCACTCATTCATAAACGCTGTGTCGTGTATTATTGCGCAGCTACGATGAGAAAAATATGGAACATGAATCTATTCGACCATAAAATGGTGCGATTTAATGGTGTGTAAGAAACAGAATACTTAACGAGTGTCTGTCAGATGACATTTATCTTACAACTTTTTGTTTCAAAACGTATTTAAATGGCTAACGCTCGTAAAATACGTTTTGAAACAACTCCTTCTAAGATAAATGGTATCTGACATACACTCGTTAAGTAATCTATATTTGTGTATTTGTGATATTGAATATATTTTATTGTATGCAACCAGTTAAATATGGTTATGACCTATTTGTTATTGTACATAACCAATTTACTAGGATGGACGATTTTTACCTGTTCATTTATGACATTTCAAATGTTGCATGGTGATATTCTTGTGGATTTGTGGTTCCTGTATTCAGCTGCCCATTCTTATAATAAAGTGCCCTCACCCCTACAAGCAGCGTGCCCTCACCCCTACCGACAGCTTGCCCTCGCCCCTACAATCAGCATGCACTCACCCCTACAAGCAGCGTGCCCTCACCCCTACAAACAGCGTGCCCTCACCCCCACCAGCAGCATGCCCTCACCCCTACAAGCAGCGTGCCCTCACCCCCACCAGCAGCGTGCCCTCACCCCTACAAGCAGCGTGCCCTCACCCCCACCAGCAGCGTGCCCTCACCCCTACAAGCAGCGTGCCCTCACCCCTACAAGCAGCATGCCCTCACCTCTACAAGCAGCGTGCCCTCACCCCCACCAGCAGCATGCCCTCACCCCTACAAGCAGCGTGTCCTCACCCCTACAAGCAGCGTGCCCTCACCCCTACAATCAGCGCGTCCTCACCCCTACCAGCAGCGTGCCCTCACCCCTACAATCAGCGTGTCTGTTTTTAATCGCTGGTTACAGTAAAATATCATAAATAATTCACATATTAGTTACGTATGGATGCTTCAAAACATTAATTGATGGAAGATGCACCTATTTAGACATTACTGGCACGTCTGAATTTCTTGGCTCCTGGAACGATGACGCAAATGACGCATTTGAATAATACTATGATCAAGAGAAATGTCAAAAACAAGGGTGGCTACAGGGTGGCTACAGGGTGGCTACAGGGCGGCATATTCATTAGACCAGTTTTCATAGACAAACTATAAGAGAGATCCTGCATTATTGGCACGCTTAATGAAATTATGTTTCAAGATGTCCATACCGGTAACGCACGTGCAGCGTAATTCTTCATATATCATCTGATATTCCATCACAAGGGATAACTATTTCAAATCATGAACTATGAAGTATCTCTTTAATAATATAAGCTCTCATTGTGTTGTCATTTATAGTTAAACAATTTAGATTTAATTACTAGTTTTAAATTCATTTCTCTAATAACGTAGTTGTTTTATTGTCAGACAGGTAAGTATAATATCTAACTTTGCTTTTATTCATTTATAAATTTACAACTTTCTTAAACACGATATGGCTGAAATACTGCCGATGTGACTTTAAGTTTTAACTCACTCACTCTTATATTATCTTATATATGCTTGCTCACAAACCAAACTGAAAGAGAGTAGTAACTCTGACATACAAAGCCTTTCACGTGCTGTCGGAGGTCACGTGGCTCACGACTGTAAAAATACTGTCCTGGGGATCTTGATTTCTTTGGCTATGTTCCTGGTACATCACTCAACCCCATTTACTACTACGCATAATTGCATGTTTTGTTTCAGCAACGATGTAAAGATGAATATTTCCAAGAGTGGAGCAATGAATTATCCATATCAA